AGCGCATAGGCGACAAAGTGATATATTAAATTATACAGACTATTTTGTCTAACCGTATTTGCTAATTTGCTACCTCACGGCTCACACACGAAATCGTTCATATAGAATTATGAACTGTGATCACACGCAATGTCTCATCACCGGAATATTGGTCAGGTTTCGAAGCGATCATGGGAATCATGCCCTTTTTTGGTGGTATTATGCCCTTTATTATGCTTCACGAATCACAAGAGCGGCGCAAATTAGATAGTTTAAGTTATGATAATGTAAAGTTGTGTACGTAATTTAGTTGTTTGTGCTAGAAACATCATGAGTAATGAAATAATGCTGAAACGCGCCCTTTTGGCAGCTAGGCAGGGAAACCTTAAAATGCATGGGGTCCGTGTGTTATTGTATAAAAGAGCTGTATGTTGTAATTGTATTCAGATCAGTAGAGAATAGAATTGGGATTAGATTAATCGCTGGAAGTTGTTGGCATTGCATAATATAAGTACTATACTGCTACTAAATTCAAACCAAATTGCAAATTTCGACATGTTATAATGCCGTTTCCTGACCATCACATTTCTGTCAAATCTTCCCCCAAAGTCCAGGAAATGGCATTTCAGAGACTCTAAATTCAAAAATTTTTTTGGGGGGCATGTCCCCGGACCCCCCTAGACAAACCTCGCACCTGCGGCGCTCGGCTCGTGCCTTCGGCCCTCGTTTATCAAGCGAAACATTATAGGGGCGCATATTTGTTGACAGCCCACTGGCCTCCCCAGAAAAATAGTACCCAGCACGCCACTGGCACATTTTGTAAGAAATTTCAGGTTTTCAAAATATTAATTTAATGGTGTATTTTGTTATAAATCATATGCTAAGCATAAAAAAATGGCATTTCAGAGAAAAGATTCTAGATGAGGCATAAAAAAATTTTTCCGGTTTCATATCGTGAAAAAATTAGGGTCGGTAGGTCGGAAATAAATTTTTTTTTGAATATATTTTTCATGGTTTTGGCGGTTTTTTGCTGGGCGATTTGCAGTATAGTCCCGATATCAATATTAACTAGAGATGCGTATTTCCTATGGACGAATTTAGGCAATTTGGTTCAATAATTAGTGTGACAACAGATGCCATTTTGGCACGCTATATGAGCAGCCCGAAACCACCTGGAGAAAATCAGTCAATTGCGTTGAAAAAATAATAGGGTCGGCAGAAAAATAGGGTCGGTCAGGAACCGGAACCACAGGTATTTTTTTTACGCCTGATTAATACATTTGTGAATGGGATTGCAAGGTGGTTTTATTAACTCTCTCTCGACAAATCCCGCGCATCGTCAGCTTCTAGAAGCTGACGACTTTGTGTGTTCATATCTTCAGTTCAGTCAAGCTATGAAGACAATAACACCACCATTCGCTTCAGTGAAACAATATCAACTAATTCCTCATGATAGTTTGTCATTGCCAACATTGTAGCAATTTATGGCCTTTGAAAGTCAAGCGAGACATCCTTATTGGCCAAGTATAGCGTGTGGCCCGCATGTTACATTTTTCAAAATGAAAGCTAGCTAAAATTATTGGGGCAATCGCCCCCCTGCCCCCCCCCCCCTAGTTTCCGCCACTGAGACAAAATTAGATGTGTCTAGGCAAAATATCATTATCCACCGCTATAAACAGTAATTGTAGGGTCATTTCAATTTAGATAGTAAGAAATATATTAGAAAGTCAAATAAAAGTTCTCAGTCGGTGTCACAAGGAATCTGACATACTATTAATATACAGTGAGTCCCAGAGGTGGAAAAAGTATTGGACCACAGGACCATTGGTCCCAAAGCATGTTATTAAAGACAAGCAACAAACGAGCTTCAAAACAATAGTTTAGGGAGAAGAAATCGATTGAAATCTTGCCGAATTATGGTTATTTCAATACGTGCTGATCGCGATAATGGACGTCAGAGTTTGTGGTTTTTAATATTCTTTCAAAAATTCAAACGGGTAAAGGACAAGTCAAAATAAAGTATGGTTTTATCTCGTCAACATATTTGAAGAGTTCAGAATTTCTATACCCACTGAAACAAATTTTGTTTGTCGAGCAGTTTATCGTATATAACTGCATACTATTTTGCTCTTCTTGTATAGTAAATTATAGTGAAGCGTCGACGATTTACAGATTTTTTCAAGGACAACCGCAAATATCAAATAATTGCAAATATCAAATAAGTTTTCACAAATATCAAATAATTTTTGATTTGTAATGTTCCTGAACATTTGTTTAACTAAGGGTTAATTTCGCATTTCAAGAATGTCCACTCCTTTTATGTTTACTTCAACATTTTCGCAGTTTGCATAATAATATTATAGGTAAATTTTATAAAAGAGATTAGGCAACAGGAGTATTGCGTAATCGCTTGTCGCGTATTTCTGGCCATGTTTTGAGCTCCCAGAAAATATTTCCCTAAGAAAAAAAAAGATTATTGCAAAAATTTAGATACTGTAAAAGGAGAAATTCAGCCTGGGGAAAATTCTAACCAATAGAAAGAATGTTACCTGTACTGTAGGTATGACATCATTAACCTGACTTTCAAAATTTTCTGGGGGAGCATGGATCCCCTGATATAGTGCTGACTAGTAGTGCCCTTTTTTGGCATCTGTTAGGATCAGACCCTTGATTAGTTTACTTTTATGTTATATTCCTAAAAGTATTATTAAGATTCTCAGTGCACTGAGATAAAATTTCTCTGTTAAAATATTGCATGACATTCAGTTTGACAATTTATCAGTGTTACACAGTTACAGTCAGTGTCCAAGTGTCTATTTACTTGATTATTAATTTGCAGAACATTTCCAATGTTCTCTTGCGGTTGTAGAAAGTAAAATATTTTTCCACCCCCTGGTGAGTCGCAACATAAAACAAAACAGCAGACCGTACGTCATCGACGTGAAAACTGTAATTACTCGTTTGAGTGCCGTCCCCATCGACGTTGACGTGGATAAGCGCTGTACTAATTTTAAATCTGCGGCTCTTAATCGAAGTACTGTGTGACAGTAAGTTCGAGAAGCCGAAATAGAAACAATGACTGTGCGTGGGTTTTTGCTAACATTTTGCCACTGCCAATGTTTTTAAATTGTATTTATCCACGGTCATGGAAGACTGAATTGTCATCAAACATTATCAAACTTTTTTCACGAACCAAACTCCAAAGGTACAGATCGTAAGTGACATTGTGTGAACCGGAAGTGCAGTTGCAGGAATATTACTAGAAGTTCAAAAATTAAAATGCTAATAAATGTTAGTGGCTAGTGAAATGGTGAATATCAATGAAAGTTCCACTTTGAAGGAAATCTCCGTTCGTAACGTAAATTTTACAAAAACGTTTTGTATTAGATCACACAAATGTATCTTGTGAATTTAAGGGGAAAATAAAAAGAAATTACTTTACCAAAGTTTAAATTCCGCGATTTAAACTGAATTCCTCCACGGAATTCCGCGATATTTGGGCGGAATTCCAAAATGCCTGCACGTATGTGGATATTTTTGAAAACGGAGGTTTTTTCTACGTTTTGGCCTTGCGTCCACACGTAAACGGCATTTTCGGCAACCGAAAACAGAGGTTTTCGAAAACACTCTCCAGAGTGGATCCTTTTGAAAACGCCGTTTACGTGTGGACGGACGAAAACAGAGGTTTTCGAAAACGACAATGTTGATGATCGTGTCCAGTATATAGCGGCACACGTTTTGTATCTGTTTTCGTGATGGCTGACCAAAACTGTATGGTTATTTTACTTGGGCTGATTTCAAGTCTAATAGCATTCAGCTGCATGTTACTATAGGCCGTTGGCCAAAATTATTTCGCCTGGGGAATAGATTTTCTGTGGTTCAATGCATAGTACCATAGATGCTCAATCACCACAAAAAGTTCCCAAGCAAAAAACTTGCCAAACACCGAGAAAATGGGTGATCAGTGATTATCCTCTATTACATTGTATTACAGCAAGAAAATGTGAAATTTTGTATTCAATTACAACAAAAATGATTTGCATCAACAGAAAGCTCAGATAAAACCGCATATAAGACTTTTAAACAGTTTTTTGATGCTTCAAATAGTCTTTGAGTTATTGCTGTTTTAAATGTGAAAATTGGACCAAAAGTTCGCAATAAGGACTGGGTACTAGGTCAAAAACGCGTTTTTGACAGCGTATAACTCGAAAACAATTTGAGATATAAAAAAAACTGCTTATTTGACTTATATGTAGATTTTTGTAAGCTTTCTGGTGATGCAAGTCATTTTTGTTGTAATTGAATACAAAATTTCACATTTTCTTGCTGTAATACAATTTAATAGAGGATAATCACTGATCACCCATTTTCTCTGTGTTTGGCAAGTTTTCTCCTTGGGAACTTTTTGTGGTGATTGAGCATCTATGGTACTATGCATTGAACTACAGAAAATCTATTCTCCAAGGGGTTGCCACGAAATTGCTTTTCTAAGCACTTTTTCGCACAACGGCCTACTATGTTAAACCTTCACGGAGACTCTTGCCTTTGCATTTCTTGAGATACCTCAGGCTCAGGGTATCTCTTCACTCACTCTCGAAGCTTGTACTTGATGCAGGACTTGAGCTTCTTGATTCTACTTCTTCTGTAATGTCGGTAGACTCTATTCCAGCATGTATAGTTGATGTAGCAGGAGATCCTCCCCATATAGGGATATGATTTTACCAAAAACTAAGTGCATATTCGCTGGACTAGCAGTAATTATTGTTAAAAATTTATTTTAACATCATGGTAATCTTACAGCATAGCTGCTAAAAAGGTACATTTAGAATTGCTGTAAGCTGAGAGCTGACTAATCCTTTGCCATTGGCATTGGACTATATGATCGCCTTCTTCAGTTCACTTTTTACTGTGCCTGTGGCAAGGTGTTCCAAAGATCTTACCAAAATTGGCGAGGTATTATACTGTAAAACATAGCCTGGCCTAGCAATTATTCATAATTTTATTCAACCTCTCATTCAAACAGTGCAATAAAAGGCTTCAAAGTTCCTGTCATACTTCCAGTTGAGACGTCTGAAGCAAGTCGCATTGAAGTTGAAGAATGCACCAGGCATATTATATTTACTGCTGAAACTCACAACTTTCCTACAGGTATGTTATTTCAATTAGATGTACAGCTTAAGAATATTTTTGCCATTCAGTGCCTACTGATATGATATATTGATATATGTATATTGACAAAACATGCAGTTGCATAAAAATGGATATAAAACATTTCTGATTAACTCAATATCAAAATTTCTTTCAAATCACAATGACAATTCTATGCGGCGTTCGTAACGTTTTTCCCACAAGATTCTATGTATATGTTGTCCCCATACCTTAAACCAACCTATACATCCTCTTTGCATCGTCTGTATGAAGTTCCAGATGCCATTGTTGGCAAGGAGGTGGTCATGAATAACTCCGAGATTGTCACCCTCTACGACGACAAGGATGGTTGAAGCGAGTCAGTTAATGACAAAGAATATAATATCACAAAAACAACCTACAGTATGCAGCTCTTGTGAAATCGCAGTTAGAGAGCTTGTCTAAATCTGTCTCAGAATCATCCTTAGAGCCAACTTTAGAATCTTTACCATCTGTCAACAATAACAATGAAAACGGTCAACAATCGCCACAATTAGGTACGATTAATGATGATGGTTTTATTGGTGTTGAGAGCAAAAGGAAAAGAAATTAAATTTTTTTCTTATCCGGCATTGCTAATGGTGTAAAAGAGAACCATATATACACATAAAAGGAACATAGTTCCCAGCAGCATTTTAACCTTCCAAAGTAGGAGAAAAGCTACAATGTCTGCAAAAATATGTATCCCTTCAACATTTGCTAAATCTGTATTGGAAGAGAATTTCGGGCCTAAATTTGTCCATTGTAAACTATGGCAAAAAGAGACTGTTCGAAAATCCGGCTCGCACACTAGAAATGAAAATGCTAAGACCCAAAGCTATAAGGGACCCCATTCAACTCTTGTATAATGGCTAATCAAACACCAGTACGAATATCAGCTAGAAAATTTTCAGCAAAAAAATCTAAACCACGCCACTCCTGCAGAAACTTAATTAAAGTTAAAATTATCGGATGTGAAACCAGCAAACCTGGACAAATTCCTAAATGTTTAGTGCTGATCGCTAGTTAAGCCTGATGCTTATCCTGCACTCTATGCTGAACTTAATAGCAACAACATTGATCTCTGTTTTATATCTGAAACGTGGCTTCATTCAGCTATACCAAGTTCACTGATTTGCCTTCCTGGTTACGGTATTTCCAGGAAAGATTGACAGGATACACGTGGAGGTAGAGTAGCGATACTTTGTAGGAATGATTGGAGAATGGGAAACATACTAGAAGTAGAAAATATGTGCGAATTCATTTGGATGAAAATAATATTGTAACTAAAAACTCTGTGTTTAGTGTTGCAGCAATTTATCATCCCCAGGCGATTATAGCTATGACGCCAAAGATTTGATAGACTATTTGATTGATTCTTGTGAGCAAATTTTATTGCGTGATCCAAATAAGAATATTATTATTGCTGGAGATATAAACAAACTAAATATTCATGATCTACTTAGTCAGCAATCCCTTATTCAAATGGTCAAAACACCTACGAGATGCAACAATATTCTAGAAGTCTTTATAACTAACGTTCCGCATTATTGGAAAAAAGTACAAGTGAGAAAAGGTAGATCTGATCATAACATTATTATAACATCTCAGAAAGATGCTATAAAAGCAGAAAGAACAAATTTATTCTTCAGAGACGTGCGAGACCATAGAAAACAAAGAATGTTTAATGATTTAGACTCTGTTAACTGGATTAAAATAATAAACGAGGAGCTTTCCTCTAATGAGATGGCTACACAATTTTATGAAACTCTATGGCCTAAATTTGAAACTTGTTTCCCACTAATAAAAGTTCGATGATCATCGTGTGACCCACCGTTCATGTCTCCGCTTGTTAAGCACTTGTTAAAAGAGAGAAAATAAGCAATGAGAACGAATGATGAAGAGACAATTACTCGTTTACAGAATCAAATTAATCGTCTTATCCACTCCAACCAGGTTAATGCTGTTAAAAATGAGAAAAATGGATCTAAGAAATGGTGGAGTAAAGTTAACAGTATGACTGGAAGAAAAGGAAACACTATACCAGTTAGTTCTATAATAGAGCCAAGTGTAATAAGCACTTACTTTCAAGGCATAAATACTGATCCTGAATACACTGCTCCCCGGTTGCTATCGATCCCTAAGGACACCAGAATTCCCTTGCTTTCATTAGACATGGTGCATAATTTTTTGCGAAAATTGAAACTCACAACATCCGGACCTGATGACATACCATACTGGTTTTGGAAGACGTACGCAGTGATATTGACTCCTGTTATAACGAGAATATTTAATACTTCTCTGAAGAGTGGGAAGATTCCGAATGTTTGGAAAAGAGCTGATGTGATACCCAGTCCAAAAGAAAAGTCAATTCCTGTTCCCAACTTAGACCTATCTCATTAACAGATATCATTATGCGCCTATTTGAGAAATGTATCAAAGTGAAGTTGCTGATACAGTGTATAATTATATTGGGGGTGACAATTTGCATATGAAAAAGGGCATAATTCTACCATGGCCCTAATAAAATATCAACATATGTGGTTAAAAAGCCTTGATGAAGGTGCTAAATCAGTTAGAGTAATCTCATTTGACTTTAGTAAAGCATTTGATAGTGTCCCACATGATATTTTGTTTAATAAAATCAAGAAAATACCCATTAATCCATATATTATAAACTGAATGATTGACTTTTTGAACAACCGCAGACAGAGTGAAAGTTGATGGTGTCACAACTGAATTTCTAGACATTAATCGTGGCGTAACCCAGGGTACTGTACTTGGACCTGTAATGTTTACTATAATGGTCAATGATATCAAGGCGGTGAATCTCTCCAATGATTTATCTAAATTTGCTGATGATATTGCAATAATAGCACCAGTTTATGATTACGAAGATTCAGCTGGGGATGAAGTAGAAAACATGAAACTATGGTTAAACGAGAATAGAATGTCTTTAAACATGGAGAAAACCTATGAAATGATAGTTCGCGGAAAAGTGTCTACTCCCCTTCCGGATCACATTCCATCCATAAAACGGAAAGAATGGCTCAAATTATTGGGTGTCACGATGGAAGAAATACCTGGAAAATGGGATAAACATTTTGAAAAAAGCTTGAAGAAGATTGTATATTCTAAGTGTTTGTAAACATTACGGACTCTCTACGCATCAATTGGATCTTCTCTTCAATAGTCTTATAGTCTCTCTTTTAACCTTTGCAGCCGATGTTGGAGTGGAGCATCGTACATCAAATACCTAAGTCAGATTGATAAGTTTGTCAATCGTGCCTATAGAAATGGTTATAGAAGCAACAGATCAGATTTTAAAGCAACAATATCGAACAGAGACAAGAAATTATTGTCAAGAATTATAAATGATGATAAGAATGCTTTACACAATCTTTTACCTAGTAAGTTGAATGGACCTTTAAGACGGAGAGGTCATGACTTTGAACTACCAATTGTTAAAACTGAGAGATTCAAAAACGCGTTTATAAATAGATGTCTTTTCAATTTTATATAAAGACTTATTATTATTATTATCTCAGCATAGTTGCTTGAGTCCTTCTGAGTCCTTCTGACTCAATTTGAAGTTGGCAAAATTGAGTCGCAGTGTGGTTTCTGACCTGTGGGAAAAACACGGTGGCAGCACTAGTCATTACTATTGATGACCATGGCATTTTCCACCAGTTTTGATTCTGCTATTTTCAATATCCAACATTTTCTTGCATCGTGAGATTGACAAAGACGATTGGAAGGCAAGCTACAACAGTCACCCGCCTCGCGACATGAGTGTCAACAAACCATAACCAACAGTCGAGACAGGGGTTGAAACACAGCGGCAGACAAAAGCGTGCGCATAAAGAAATGCAGCACTAACAGATCAGAGACTTACCCACATGTGACCATTGAGACTCTCATTCCCACAATGGTCTATACAGCCACGACCGATGCTGCTCCACTCGAGTAGAGAAAAATATTATTTGTAATCCTAACATAGACGTCGCAACTGCTGATAAAACGTAATACTTTGAAATAGTTTAATTTACATACAGATATGTATTTAGCGGTATCAACCCATGATTTCGTCCGTAACTAAATGGTGAGATTCTGACTTGCAAGTAGCTGTGTTTAACCCACGTCTGTTGCTGTTGTTCCTTGCATCATTGACAGAAACGTACTTGGGGTTTATGAGAAAGACAACGTCCCCCCCCCCCCTTCCCAAACTCCGAATATTTGACAACATGAACGAAACATGATTTGCAGTGTAATGAATTTGTACCAATAGTTTTATATGCCCCCGCGGGACTTATTTATTTCAGGCAGGTTTGAGAGGAGTTAATAGTGGATTTAAGGTGGCTCGATACACTTTTCAAAAATTCAGGTGTTCAACACTTTGACATGTTCAAACTACGCATTCTTAGGATTTATTCAGCAGATATTGGGTTTTTATATATGTTGATATCTCTAGTTTCAAATTATATTACTTTTAGTGACAAATAGTTCGTTGCTATGATGACATACGTGTGCGAAATTCACTCCAAGTCAATGGGTATAGTTGGAAAAGAAGCATGGTGACCCCGAATTTTTTTCGTGCATTATTTTGCTTGGAAGAAAAACTAACAATTAGCAAAATATAAAAAAATTCTGTAATGCCATTTTTTTGGAAAATGTCGTAATGCAAAATTTGAACATAGGTCACCAGACAAAATAGAGAGATATAGCGCATTGTTTTTTTAACATTGAAAATTCTAATGACGTCAGCAATTGACATAAAACGCTATAAAACACGCGCAGTGACATTTTGGAAGTTCTTTCATTTTGTTAATCAGTTTCTGCGACCTGCGCGTAAAAGTGGTCACCCGGTTTTGTTCGCGATTCTTGAGCAGGGTTTTTGTGATAACTATATCGAGCCACCTTAAGGTATTCCAAAATAAAGTAGCATCAAGCAATTAATGAAATGAAATGTAGAAGATGACTGAAATACAAGTTACAATTATTATTGTGAAACTTATTAATAATTCATGACGAAAACACAAAAGAAATCATGACCGTGAAGGAGTTTGTAAAGCTGATACAAAATCATGCTGATTTACATAAATTTTAAGGTGGCTCGATACAGTTTTCAATAGTTTGACAGTTGTTAACGTCTTATTCCTAGGTTTTATGCAGCAGATATCAGGATGTTCATCTATTTTGATGTTTCTTCTTTCAATTTATGTCGGTTTTAGTAACACATAGTTCGTTACTATGACAACACACGCGTAGAAATTCACTCTAAAATAGCCAATTGCTTTGTGTAGTTTGAAAAGAAGCACGGTGACCCCCCAAATGTTTTTTCCTGGACTATGTTACCTTCAACATAAACTGACAATAATCAAAATATAAAAAAAACCTCTGTAATACCAGTTGGTCTATTGGAAGACTTTTGCAGTACAATACAGTGTGTAAAATTTCAACCAACATGAAATAACGCACTATTTTTCAAAAATTGACATTTCTAATGACGTCAGCAATAGACATGCATTGCGTTATAAATCCAGTATAAAACACGTACAGTGGCGCAAGATGACGCCAGGTCATGTATGTAAGTGCTTTCGTTAATATCCGTAATAATAACGTTTTGTTTTCGCGATTCTTGTTTAAGGGAATTTGTATAGATTCGATACTCGATATCGATGCGATATCGAGCCACCTCAAGTTCATTTTTCTCACTCAAATATCATCCATTTATGTTAAATTGTTGAGGAATACGTATGTTCCCATCAAGTCATTTCACAAGTGATTTACAACATTCGCGTGTTGTATCGGATATACAAATTCTCGCCTTCGGCTAGAGTCCTGAAGCTAAAACGTTCCAACTTTTTAGATGTAATTAACAGTTATAAAACAAGAAAATACTCTAGGTACATTTTTTAGCTCGTAAGTGTGTCACTTTTACTATAGATGTTTTGTTACTATTTAGGTGTAGCACCGTTTCCCGGCGCCACTACTGGTACAGGTGGTCGAATACGAGATGTCCAAGCAGCAGGAACTGGATCAAATGTTGTAGCTGGAACTGCCGGTTATTGTTTTGGGAATCTAAATATTCCAGGTAATATACAGTAAGGATGAATCCAACCAGATTTGGTAGGGGTGTGTGGGAGTTGTGCGGGGGTGTTCATCGATCTTTGGTCATGGTTAGGGGTGCGACAGACCAAATGTCTAATCACTTGAGGGAGCTATACAGTAGCAAGGCACTACTAGTCTGTAGTCTCATTTATTTTCTTTCACTTTACTTTTCTGTACTAACATTTCTTAAGTGTTTAAATATTTTTCTTCTACCATGCCACAGGTTACGAATTACCGTGGGAAGCCAGTGATTGGACATATCCACCGAATTTTGCATCACCCTGTGAAATTGCGATAGAAGCAAGTAATGGCGCCTCTGACTATGGAAACAAGTTTGGTGAACCTGTTTTAGCAGGTTTTTCTCGCTCATTTGGCATGTTGTTAGGAAATAAAGAACGAAGAGAGTGGATTAAACCCATCATGTTTAGTGGTGGCATTGGATCCATTGATTGCAGACATGCTTGTAAACATCCTCCCGAAACAGGTTTGTCATCTTTTATTAGCAGATGTTTTATATATACATTGGGGTTGTTTCTATATGTTTACTTATGCAACATTTTAGAAACTTTAGTTTCAGTCAATTCAGAAAAGATTTGAGGAAATGAATTTCAAAGTTTATTTTCTTTAAGCTGAGAAAGGAAAAGTCGGTTTGCTTGAAAATACGTAATAGAAAAATACCATCACTTGTGTGCCTGTCAACGACATATTTCAGCAGTTAATGTTAACTCAAACCTCGAAGTCTACATCGACAGACTAGAGATAAATATGTAACAAAATCGTTGGTTGAGATGTTTTGGGCCCTCGAGTCCTTCAGGAGGTCAGACCTAACAAAAAATATCCTGTGGTTCCGCACTTCCGCCTTCTCAACTGATCTATTTTTGTTGACTCTAATGTTTTATGTGGTCGGGGCTGCCTTTTTTTCCCGTTTTCCATTGTCACATTGGCGTCCATTGTCACAGCAATGCCAACTAATCACACTCATGGTTAATGTCAAGCAAAAAAAATCAATAATGTTTTTTTCGACCAACGTAAACTTCAAAGTGTCTAATTAATACTTTACAGTTATGCATTTATTTCAAACAATCTCTATATTTGATTGTTAACGGCTTGACCCTATTCATGTATGTTTGGCGTATATTTAGGAATGAATGTTGTAAAGATTGGTGGTCCAATCTACCGTATTGGGGTGGGTGGAGGTTCTGCATCGTCAATCCAAGTTCAGGGAGATAATGCAAGTGAACTAGACTTTGGTGCTGTACAGAGAGGTGATGCTGAAATGGAACAGAAATTAAACAGAGCCATTCGTGCCTGTATAGAAATGAAAGAGAATAATCCAATATGCAGTATCCATGATCAAGGAGCTGGAGGAAATGGTAGGATTTCCGTTTTCTTCGTAAAGTTTCATTGCCATACAATTGTTGGTTGTATATTTAGGCATAAAGTGAAAATGTCATTGTGGGTTCAACTGAAAGAAATTGTAGTTTACAACTGACCATCAGTGTATTAAATGTTTGTTGTTGCAATTATTTATCCAGGTAATGTTTTGAAAGAGCTTGTTGAACCAACCGGAGCGATCATTCACGCTGAAGCTTTCAAACTTGGCGACCCCACTATATCAACACTTGAATTATGGGGAGCTGAGTACCAGGAAAGTAATGCATTACTTGTAAGACCAGAACACCGCGCCATACTAGAGAAGATTTGTAAGAGAGAAAAAGTGGACGTTTGTTTTGTTGGCAATGTAACAGGTGGGATGTAAAATCATCAATATACTGTAGTTACTCGCTGGGGCACCTGTGCCCGGGCGAGTATAGGTTTCGGCATGCATTTTTGGTGGATGTCAGATTTCCAATGTCAGATCGTCGTTGATAGCCACAAAATAGAATATTAATGAGCTGCTTGATCCTTCAAAATGGCGGGGACTTTCGTGGAGTGGGCAAAACGTTTTCAACAATTTCGTGAAAATTTTGAACCAATTGTACCAGTTTCCTATGGATTTTGGATTGTGTGTAACTGTGGACATTCCTGCTAGTTTATTTAATGCGTTTTTCTTGGTGCACGACTCTGAAAATCCGAAATTTGGATCGTGGAATTCCCGTGCAAGATCATAATATACTGAATCTGAATATAAACGAGCCAAAGACAATTTCAAGGTAAAAGGTTATAACTTAAACTGCACAACGTAGTTTTAATAAATAACTACTTTATGAGAAGCATATTGGTGTCATATCGATATGAATTTTATCGAACAACAGTCCGTGAAAACTGCAGTGTACTCAGTGTGAAATATGATATTGTATTTGTATAAATTCCTATTACAGTAATGGCGCAATAGCCAATAAGGATAAAAATACCACCGTTCGATTCAGCATAAGAAATTGCACTTACGGATGCCAAATGTATCACTAAACAACAGTATTCTAACGATTTATGGACTTTGAAAATCAAGCGACATTTTTATTGTTGACAAATTTAATACTCGCCGTTAATTGTCCGACCTTGTATTTGACCTTGTATTTGTAATAAGTAATGGCGGATAAAAATATAAGAAATTGTACTTATAAGAAATTGTACTCAACGTAAGAAATATATTGTACTTATATATGAATGAGAAATTGTACCTACGGGTTTCAACTGTATTACTAAACAACTGACAACAGTATTCTAGCAATTTATGGCGTTTGTCTTTGAAAGCCAAGCGAAATTGTATTATATATTTGTTGACAAATCGCTCAAACCTAAAATTATATAAAATGCAATATGTTTGATCCTTGATAACTTTGGTATTGTTGGTTTTCTCTTTTTCGGCCGTATACCAGTGGATTCGTCTCACTTCTCTCTTCATTTTGATAATATTTCGAGCCCAAAAATATTTTAGTTTGGACGTTTTAAACTAGCGGCCAACAGAAGAATGTAGCGTATTACAAAATACGACTTTTAGTACTTGTGGGCCATAAACGCCGGAAGTTTTATTTGTACTTGTAGCACAGAATAGCTTGTAGGGTACCGCATTTTAGTATGTTAAGCTTTCGCACTCGTATTCGACTTTTCCGCTTAGCTCGGGGTCATACTTAGATCTTAATAGACCTTTCCCCTTTTCAATGAAATTTTGATCTAGATTAGCCTGGACAAAAATTTCATCACAGCTAGGAAGAGCATTGCAGAATTAGTAATATTCCGACGTTTCGTTGCAAAAAGTTGTAAAATGCGGATAATATAGCCTTGCGAAGCTTGCCGTTTTCAGTCATTTTGCAGCACAAACGGAAAATTGATAATCAGATAATGAAACTGATGGTCAATTTCCCATTTGTAATACAAAATGACTGAAGGACGGCAAACTTCGCATTGCTATATTATCTGCATTTTAAATATGACTAATTTTGTCATGCTCTTTCAAGCTGCAGGCGCAGAATAACGTACACAGAAGGACGACTTCTTTGTTTTTCCTATGATTTTCCTATGATTTT